ATAATAAAAATTGTTGCATGTTATCATTAAAAGAAATCTTAATAGATGGACCGAGAAAACCTGTTTTTTTGACACGATATTAATATTGGCGAATTAAAATCATTTTCTAAGTTAACAAGAATACGCCTAAAGATAGAAACAGAAACTTTTTTATACAATACAGATTATAAATAATACTTCGGAAAAAACCTCTGTCCTGAGGAGAACCAGTAAGAAACCTAGCGGGATTACTTTTTTTTTAAATTTTAACAAAAATAGTCACGCTATGTATGTTACAATTAACAACACATAACAAATTAGAAACATCTTGGTAGTAATCACCCAAGGGTTATTATCGTCTAATCCTTAATATTATAAGAACCCTTTTTATACAAACTTAGTTTAACAAGGTTTTTGTATTTTATGCAGGTCAAACTTTGTATATATTCTGGGATTTTGTTGTAAAAGTTTATACATCGCCCCAACGATGAATTATTGACTCGGTGGAGTCGAGTAACTGGTAGCTTGTGTCTGTTCCTAGAATTAATATTTCTTCAAAATATATACTCGTATTTTATACTTACCTGATCTGTCACTTTTACCTGTTTTATTCGATAACATTTCGTAAGTTAAGTCGTAGTTAGTATCAAAGCAATATGCATATTTATAATTTTTAATGTCCATATAAAGTAAATTTTTAAACATTTCTATTCGGTAATTATAAGTAAATATAAATAAAAATATATAGGGGCTCGTAGTACACAGATGGAGCACATACAATTCTTTTGTGTTAGTTATTTTTATAAGCGTTTTTTAAATTAATCTAACCAGTTCAATTGAATCCATATTCTTAAAGTCACTTCCACCAATCATAATTACACAAAAGTCTTCTTGATCTCATCAAAATTATGGAACTTGTTCTTGATATCTGACAACAGTTCTTTCAAACTACTGTTAGGTTTCATAAATTGGCAGTAGTATAATATTCAGTGTACCGTTGTAGATGCAGCCACTGAAAATACACAATTTTCTCTTCTTTCTGCTGTCTTTTTCTTTCTCTAATTTGCTTTCTTGTTTTTTTCACGGAATATTTTGTTGCGGATTTTTCTCATTTTTTATAGTGTTCTTAGTTAACTTCTCACTTGATTAAGTTTGTTAACCTTATTTTTGTTATCTTTTAATAAGTAGTATTTATTTACAAGTATTTATTTATTAATTGATCGGTTGCTGGTGTTATTATTTTTTATTTTATTTTTATTTGACATCTTTCATATGAAGATACAATTCACTCAAGTAGTCACTTAACCTAATCGAGGAATTTGCACGTATAGAGAATCGGTCTATTTTAATGTAGATGAAATAATGAAAGCAATGAAAAGCATGAAAGCAGGTAAGGTAGCTGGATATGATAGAGTATCACTCGAGATGCTAAGGGCTGGAGAGGGAGTGGTGGCAGGCCTGCTGTACACCTTGTTTAATTTATGTTGGGAATTAAAACGGGTACCGGATGACTGGTGTAAAGCAGTTATAGTACCAATATATAAAGGAAAAGGGTCACAGCAGGACTGCAAAAACTACCGTGGTATCAGCTTGCTTAGTATTGTGGGTAAACTGTATGCTAAGGTGTTAATTGAAAGAGTTATGAAAGAAACTGATGGAAAAATTTGGGATGTGCAAGCGGGATTTAGAAAGGGAATGGGGTGTACAGATCAAGTCTTTTCCATGCGCATGATTGCGGAGAAGTTTTTGGCCAAAAACCAGAAAGTTTTTTGTGCGTTCATGGACTTGGAAAAGGCTTATGACAGAGTGGACAGGAATGTGTTATGGCAAACACTGAACTCATATGGGTTGAGCGCTGGTTTGATACAGGCATTAAGGTCTCTTTATAGGGACTCTAGTGCTTGTGTCAGGATCAATGGGGTCTACTCGGACTGGTTTGGCATCCAAAAAGGTGTCAGACAGGGCTGTGGGCTTCCCCTTGACTGTTCAACCTATTTATGGACAGGTGTTTGCAAACTTTGAAAGATGAAGAATGTGGGTTAAGAATGGGCGAGTTAACCGTCAAATGCCTTTTGTATGCCGATGATCAAGTCATATTTGCGTCATCGGCGGCTGAGTTGCAAATGATGGTTACATTAATGAACTGGGAATTAAAAGAAAGGGGAATGAAAGTGAACGCAAGTAAGACGAAGGTTATGGTTTTTGAAAGAGAAGAAAGTAAAACGATTTGTGAAATAAGAATAGAAGGGGGAGTTGATCGAGCAAGTAGATGAGTTTGTATATTTGGGCTGCGTATTTAGCAGGGATGGGTGATATGATAAGGATATAGAACGACGAGTGAATGCGGGAAATAGAGTAAATGGGGCCCTGCACTCTATTGTGAAGAGTTAAAATGTGTCAAAAAAGGCACGTATGGCAATTCACAATGCTGTGTTGGTCCCTACTTTAATGTATGGTAGTGAAAGCTGGGTGCAGAAGAAGCACGAAAGTAGAATAAATGCTGTAGAAATGCGGTCTTTAAGGAGTATGCTAGGGTTGAATCTGAATGACAGGGTGAGAAATTGCATGATAAGAGATAAATGTATTATGCAAGATGATGTTGTGACCAGGATTAAGAAAGGAATGCTTCGGTGGTTTGGTCATGTAGAAAGAATGAATGAGGAAAGAGTGACAAAGCAAATTTATATGGCAGATGTGAACGGCCGAGTCGGGAAGGGACGCCCTAGAAAAAAGTTTATCGACCAAATTGGCGATATTTTGAAAAGGGGCCACGTTAGAAGTACCCTTAACCGACGAGCATGTATGCGTTGATATATAGATGTAAAGGAGGCGAAAGAGGTATATCAGGATCGTGCCAAATGGAAGTCCGTAGTCTCTGCCTACTCCTCTGGGTGACAGGCGTGAGTGTTTATGTATTTTATGTATGTATGGATGGGTGGGAACTTTTTTGTCTTCGAATGTTAAAAGTTAGTAAAGTAAAGTTTCAGCCTATATACGTCTCACTGCTGGGCATCTCATTTCTGATAGGGTTTTTAGGGCAAGGATTTGTCCGCCGCGCTGCCCTAATGCGTGTTGGCGAACTTCACATGTTTTCGAAATATATTTTTTTTCTTATTTCTCTGACATGCAGGTTTTCTCGCGATGTTTTCCTTCACCGCCGAGCACGTGGTAAATCAGCACTTAAAATTGCAATTGACAATTTCATTGGTGCCGGCGGGGATCGAACCCGGTTTGCTCGCGTACTGTGAAATTTACAGCGAGCGCTAACCATCTGAGCTACCACGGCTCTTAATCGGCTCTCTTCAAATGAAGCGAATCATATAATGATCGAACTTTCACTTCAAGAAGTTCGTTTAATATCATATTATTTCGTCATTTCGTTCTTAGGTTAATTAACCTTTATAGTATTAGGATTTTTTTTAATTTGGGTTCAAACAATATAATAATACTTCCAACTTTTTCTTAATGATTTAAGAAAATACATGATTATGATTTCTTACTTTTAATACTAATCGCACAGACGGATCGAGTAAATCCCCCTTCAACCGTTAGTGAGCGGTTATAGAACCTAACGAATGTCATAGATGAGGTAGATGGTCTCCAGCCGTTTTTCGTATGGTGTCAATACAAGTTCCGGCGGAGGCCACTGCCGAAATGGAAGCGTGATGGGTGCTGTGAGCAGTGAATGTAGCTATGTACGTCCACACCGCTCTCTGCTAAAGTCTGCTTTATCCACCGGCTTATAGTTTGTGACTATGCCTTTTTGTAAGGTTTTTTATTAGTAAGTAGGAGATTGTCAGTCCCTTTAGGTCGCAGCCCGGATATTTCTATAAGATAGTCGTCTAGGGTTCTTGTTGGACAAATGCTTGGGTTTTCTACAAAAATAAGACAGGAATAATGCTCTATGCTCTCGATTTAGTGCTGAAGTTTTTATTATGTCAGTTACAAAAACATTAACACCTGACGGGGATCTTATGATATTAGAGGTTCTTATTAGAGAGAGAGAGAGAGAGAGTTTGTACGGGATGAGAAGTACACAAAGTAAAATATATTGTATTTTTTTTGTAAGTTTTTTTAGGCTTATTTATTTTGACACCATTTGGATACATAATCAAGCACAGTTTTGTAGGTAGTTGTATGTTTGAGAAGAAAGAAGGAAGTTTCAAATACCCTTTAATAACCGCTTAATTCTTTTATCTGACCCTATATTATTCCCGAGGAGTAGAGGAAGGGCAAACCAATGACCATTAATAGACCCATATGATGCTCCATTTTTGTACAGATCCACTAAAAATTACTTGGTTGTCTATAAAAAACTGCCACCACAGTCTGTACGTACTAGAATATTGGTTCATAGTGTTATCTGAGATGGATGCTAGCATGAGATCTAGTGCTATGTCCGGAGTGTTTAATCTCTTAAATGTGGTCCCGAGAGCGTCGCGGCCGCCAGGGAAAGGCTGGCATGAAGTCGATGACGTAACCTGTAAGGACAACGCAAAAGGATGTTCTAAGATTTTTTTTAAGAACGTAATCTCCGAGATGAGCATTCTTTTGAGCAGTGGAAACCAAGCTTGTCCAGGCCAGTAAGGAAATACTAGAATACTGGTGGCTATGTCAATAATAATTTTTTGTAAGCATCTTAGTTTTAAGATGAACTGTGGAAATGCGTAGGAGGCGACGAGTTACAGTTAACTGTGAATTTTCATTGCGTCGGGGTCTGGTTTCCACGAGATATGCTGAAGGCATATCCCACTGTAGTCCCAGACTTTGAACAATTATCATTGCGTCGGGGTCTGGTTTCCACGAGATATACTGAAGGCATATCGCACTGTAGTCCCAGACTTTGAACAATTGTCATTGCGTCGGGGTCTGGTTTCCACGAGATATATTGAAGGCATATCCCACTGTAGTCCCAGACTTTGAACAATTGTCATTGCGTCGGGGTCTGGTTTCCACGACATATACTGAAGGCATATCCCACTGTAGTCCCAGACTTTGAACAATTGTCATTGCGTCGGGGTCTAGTTTCCGAGATATACTGAAGGCATGTCCCACTGTAGTCCCAGACTTTGAACAATTGTCATTGTGTCGGGGTCTGGTTTCCACGAGATATACTGAAGGCATATCCCACTGTAGTCCCAGACTTTGAACAATTGTCTTTGCGTCGGGGTCTGGTTTCCACGAGATATGCTGAAGGCATATCCCACTGTAGTCCCAGACTTTGAACAATTGTCATTGCGTCGGGGTCTGGTTTCCACGAGATATGCTGAAGGCATATCCCACTGTAGTCCCAGACTTTGAACAATTGTCATTGTGTCGGGGTCTGGTTTCCACGAGATATACTGAAGGCATATCCCACTGTAGTCCCAGACTTTGAACAATTGTCTTTGCGTCGGGGTCTGGTTTCCACGAGATATGCTGAAGGCATATCCCACTGTAGTCCCAGACTTTGAACAATTGTCATTGCGTCGGGGTCTGGTTTCCACGAGATATTCTGAAGGCATATCCCACTGTAGTCCCAGACTTTGAACAATTGTCATTGCGTCGGGGTCTAGTTTCCACGAGATATACTGAAGGCATATCCCACTGTAGTCCCAGACTTTGAACAATTGTCATTGCGTCTGGGTCTGATTTTCACGAGATATACTGAAGGCATATCCCACTGTAGTCCCAGACTTTGAACAATTGTCATTGCGTCGGGGTCTGGTTTCCACGAGATATGCTGAAGGCATATCCCACTGTAGTCCCAGACTTTGAACAATTGTCATTGCGTCGGGGTCTGGTTTCCACGAGATATACTGAAGGCATATCCCACTGTAGTCCCAGACTTTGAACAATTTTCATTGCGTCGGGGTCTGGTTTCCATGAGATATGCTGAAGGCATATCCCACTGTAGTCCCAGACTTTGAACAATTGTCATTGCGTCGGGGTCTGGTTTCCACCAGATATACTGAAGGCATATCCCACTGTAGTCCCAGACTTTGAACAATTGTCATTGCGTCGGGGTCTAGTTTCCACGAGAAATACTGAAGGCATATCCCACTGTAGTCCCAGACTTTGAACAATTGTCATTGCGTCGGGGTCTGGTTTTCACGAGATATACTGAAGGCATGTCCCACTGTAGTCCCAGACTTTGAACAATTGTCATTGCGTCGGGGTCTGGTTTCCACGAGATATACTGAAGGCATATCCCACTGTAGTCCCAGACTTTGAACAATTGTCATTGCGTCGGGGTCTGGTTTCCACGAGATATACTGAAGGCATATCCCACTGTAGTCCCAGACTTTGAACAATTGTCATTGCGTCGGGGTCTGGTTTCCATGAGATATGCTGAAGGCATATCCCACTGTAGTCCCAGACTTTGAACAATTGTCATTGCGTCGGGGTCTGGTTTCCACGAGATATGCTGAAGGCATATCCCACTGTAGTCCCAGACTTTGAACAATTGTCATTGCGTCGGGGTCTGGTTTCCACGAGATATGCTGAAGGCATATCCCACTGTAGTCCCAGACTTTGAACAATTGTCATTGCGTCGGGGTCTAGTTTCCACGAGATATACTGAAGGCATATTCCACTGTAGTCCCAGACTTTGAACAATTGTCATTGCGTCTGGGTCTGGTTTCCACGAGATATCATGAAGGCATATCCCACTGTAGTCCCAGACTTTGAACAATTGTCATTGCGTCGGGATCTGGTTTCCACGAGATATACTGAAGGCATATTCCACTGTAGTCCCAGACTTTGAACAATTGTCATTGCGTCGGGGTCTGGTTTCCACGAGATATACTGAAGGCATATCCCACTGTAGTCCCAGACTTTGAACAATTGTCATTGCGTCGGGGTCTGGTTTCCACGAGATATACTGAAGGCATATTCCACTGTAGTCCCAGACTTTGAACAATTGTCATTGCGTCGGGGTCTGGTTTCCACGAGATATGCTGAAGGCATATCCAACTGTAGTTCCAGACTTTGAACAATTTTCATTGCGTCGGGGTCTGGTTTCCATGAGATATGCTGAAGGCATATCCCACTGTAGTCCCAGACTTTGAACAATTGTCATTGCGTCGGGGTCTGGTTTCCACGAGATATACTGAAGGCATGTCCCACTGTAGTCCCAGACTTTGAACAATTTTCATTGCGTCGGGGTCTGGTTTCCACGAGATATGCTGAAGGCATATCCAACTGTAGTTCCAGACTTTGAACAATTGTCATTGCGTCGGGGTCTGGTTTTCACGAGATATACTGAAGGCATATCCCACTGTAGTCCCAGACTTTGAACAATTGTCATTGCGTCGGGGTCTGGTTTCCACGAGATATACTGAAGGCATGTCCCACTGTAGTCCCAGACTTTGAACAATTGTCATTGCGTCGGGGTCTGGTTTCCACGAGATATACTGAAGGCATATCCCACTGTAGTCCCAGACTTTGAACAATTGTCATTGCGTCGGGGTCTAGTTTCCACGAGATATACTGAAGGCATATCCCACTGTAGTCCCAGACTTTGAACAATTGTCATTGCGTCGGGGTCTGGTTTTCACGAGATATACTGAAGGCATATCCCACTGTAGTCCCAGACTTTGAACAATTGTCATTGCGTCGGGGTCTGGTTTCCACGAGATATACTGAAGGCATATCCCACTGTAGTCCCAGACTTTGAACAATTGTCATTGCGTCGGGGTCTGGTTTCCACGAGATATACTGAAGGCATATCCCACTGTAGTCCCAGACTTTGAACAATTGTCATTGCGTCGGGGTCTGGTTTCCACGAGATATACTGAAGGCATGTCCCACTGTAGTCCCAGACTTTGAACAATTGTCATTGCGTCGGGGTCTGGTTTCCATGAGATATGCTGAAGGCATATCCAACTGTAGTTCCAGACTTTGAACAATTGTCATTGCGTCGGGGTCTGGTTTCCACGAGATATGCTGAAGGCATGTCCCACTGTAGTCCCAGACTTTGAACAGTAGTTTCGAACGCCCGTTCCGATAATTCCTATTCCGTATTCGTTCGTTTCGTTGTCGAAAGTAAGTTGTCGTGTGTGTTAATTTAGGATTCAAATAAAAAAATACTTCGCTTCTCACACCATTGCCAAATAGTTTTGGTCAAATAATTTAAATATGGAAACCATATTCTCCCCATACGATTTATGTAGCATATAGCAGTTGTGTTGTCCACGCGGAGTAAAATAAAGCAATTAGAGTGCGCAATAGCAAAGCATTTTTAACCTAAGGAAACGACTAGTAGTTCTAGGTAATTACTGCGAAAGGATAATTCATTGTCCTTCCATCCACCATTTACTATTTTACCGTCACAAACGGTGAAATAGCTCCCCAGCCTGTATTGGATGCGTCAGTATATATTTCTAAAGCAAGTTTGTTGTCTGACCTCAATGAAATGCTAGTGGACAATATGTTTTTTCCACCATTGCAGATCGGGTAAAATAATAATTGAAGGTTTGATTTTAGCTTCAAAGTCGTTGTATTTTGGTAAGGCTAAATATTTCTGACGTTCAAGAATGTTGGTGTACAAGCAACCATATGTAATTGCGGCACAGGCAGCAGTAAGTTTTCCTGTTAGTTGTGACAATTCCCTGATGGAGCATTTGGGGAGTAAGGCAAATTTTTTGACATACTGCATGATAATTTGTCGTTTGTCATTTGGCAAACTTAATGACGTATCAATTAAATTATATGTAAATCCAAGTTATCGACATACATGTTTTGGTACAAGGAAACTTTTTTCGTAATTGATGACAAATCCTAAGCATTTGAGCAATGATAACGTTTTACTTACGTTAGTGGAGCACTCTCGTAAGTGTCGCCTACGCCATAGGATATCATCCAGATATGTGTATTACCGACCGACCGATATCCTCTTTGTCGTAGACAGGTAAAAGGTCTTTTCATTGACTTAGTGAAAACCCACGGGGCAACGGATAGTCCGCATAGCATATGGAAGAGCTATGGTTGCATATGGAAGAGCGTTAGATTCGAACCATTTTTTATGAAACTGAAAACGTAAGTACTTACGATGTTCTTTTCCTATTGGAACTAAAAGGTAAGCCTCTTTTATATCGATATTTGCCATGAAGCCGGATTTAGGTAGACTATTTACGTAAAGTTATTTATAGTAAAGAAAATACAATATGTGTGTTTTGTTTTACTTAGAATAATCATCAACTGGCAGTGCCGGTTACAAAGTACATTGAATACGAGTCAGTTCAGGCTGTGTGCAGTGTGGAGCACGCCGGTCATTGATTTAATTATCAATAAAACTAAAAAAAAAATATATAACAATATAAATAGCTATAACTCATACTACCTTTGACTACGTAGTACTATTATTCATTCTGTGCTTAAACTTGTAGCTTGGTCAGCCTTGCAAAAGACGGGTTAGCTCGTGACGCGTCAATAAAATTTGCACCTGATTTGTGTTATTTTGTTGAGAATTTTTATGTAAATTATTTTACGTTCATAACAAAAAATTAAGCTTTATAATATGCTAATTACTTTAAGTGTGGTATTTAGAAAACGTTTGAAATTAACAAACTTGTTTAAAAATAAATATGATTTAATTGGATCCGTAGTTTAAAAAGTAATCCTTATAACTCAGTAGTTTCGCCATGTCGGTCCGTCGCGTCGGTCCGTCCGAGTCTCGTAAGTCTCATTCAAAGTATATTCATACGATCATATACTACGTATTACATATTAAACATACAGTATAATTCACGGTACTCTTGGTTTACGCTAGTGACCTTCAGGATAATTTAGGCCAATGATGGTTTACGGGAAGTTTCATTACGGTCATATATAACTTAGAGTTGCACTGATGGGAATATATAGATTTCCAGATCCAATTATGACCATCTTTATGTGTTGTGTTGGCATTCGAATAATTTGATGGAAATTGTATTATTTTCGACATCGAAAAGTTTTTTAATCATTTTTAATACCACTTTCTATAAGTCTGATTGGAAAATAAGTCCTTCAGTTAACATCATCCTATTTAGGCCCGTTTTTAGACATTATAGCGGTCAAACGCGAACTCAATACGCTAATTATTAAGAAAGCCCACGTATTGTGACGGGCAACTACGGAACCCTACCTCTATATTGTGCGTGGCCCGACACCCACTTGGACAGTTTTTTATATAAAATTTAATTTTAATTATTTTTCGGAATATCATGTTTGAGCCACAGACCGCGTCGAATGTGTTGGTGGGTACACTTTTGCGCTTATCAGGAATTTGTTGTCGGTGTTCAGGGACATGATTCTACTTGCGCTGCTTTAACGCTTGAACAACAAAGTCCCACAAATACAAAGTGTCCCCAGCACCAACCTCAAGTATTTTTTATCCTTGATTATTTGTAAGTAGCACAAATATGAGTCCTTGAAGAATGACTATAATTATGCTATTTAAGTAAAGAATATCGGTCACGTGTGGTAAAGTTCCTACAGAAGCTCTATACGCGACCAGTCGCAGCTGGTTATAACATGGCTAGTTCTTTTCTCCATCGAAGCCAGCGCTCCTGGCGCCACC